TGTGACGCCGGAAATATTGATAACTACAGTAAATTGGGCCCGAGGGAATCCATTCGCGAGTCATGTCTGGCCCGCGGACTGTAGTTTGAGCACCTGTCTTAGCATTTGTGCACCTGTCATACTCTAGCATCCTGCGCTCGAGTATGACCTGGCACCTGAGCCCCTAGCATCCATCCAAGCTCGATTTCTTGCAATCTAACATATTTCTAAGATAAATAAAAGTAATTCAAACCCAGAGTGAGTTGTCTCTCCAGAGGGCACATCCTAATTGGGGATTTGAATCGATGATGGTTAGTGAAGGATATGAACATCTTAATTGTGCATATTTTCATTAAGAGTCACACATGCAAGACATTTAAAATCTGAAACGTGCAGGCGCATCCATTAGCTCATTCGCTTCTGCGGCTGCTCTTAAAGTAACAAACGCAAGAGGGTCTCAGGGGGCTGAAACAAGGCCTGGACTTTTTTCACATTTAAATTTATTTCAAAGGACACTGAAATATTAATACCTATAATTTATATTTTAACCGAAACTTTCTCAGCCAAGACAATTAAAATGTTCTTATCAGTGAGCTTTCTTTGTCAACCTTTATAGGCCGAAAGGTAAGTATATTTACCGTTAAATGTATTGCCAGACCGTCTAATGGTCACTAATGTGGCCGCACACTTTGGACACCCTTCTAAGCGGTATACTTTTGACAACTCTTTTTGTATGCTGTTTATTCTATACCGAAAGCTTGCGTATGTTCGTACTTCACATTTAAATACCGGCCGTGAAGCAACACAGGGGCATTTAAATGCCGTACGATAAAGGTTAATTTCTCAGACCCAAAGACTGTCGGTCACACCGACTGACACGGCAGCCAAAATGTTAATTAATTATTCATGTGGCGCAAAATTGTATCAGTTTGCTCCAAGGGATGAAAGAGAGTGGTCACTGCTAAAACGGCCCCCAGAGAGGAAAATAGCGATTCCCTGCGAGTCTGTATCTGCTTGGAAATGATTGCCTGGTATATCCAGGCGACATCGTTCAATAAAAAAATCAAGGATAGAGTCCTGAAAATGAATCGTGACAGGACGAAGAAGAACGATGATATTCTAACGTTAGTCAGCGATGAATCGGGAAGCAAAATCAAAAGGGTTTCAGGCTCAGGCATAATGACCAATAAGGTACTCCCTGCCTAATTTTTTTTAAAGCGAATAAACAATACTGAAAAGATGAAAATTTGGTTAATGGAGCAATCATATTTTGCACAAGAGTGAACCCTAAATGGCCTCACTTCCTTTATATCCAATGCATCTTCAGCGACTCAAAGAATATAGTGTATCGCGCTTTATTTTAAAAAGACCTAAAGGAGCTGCCTGGGAACGAAAGAGAATCTTAAACTACATTTTTAGGTTACGAAATTCTTTAAAGTCTTTTAAGAAGGGGAACTCTTCGAAAATAATTCTTGGTTTCACATGAGACGAAAGTATACTGTATGGGCAGCCAAGATGGACTGAAGAAGTGGATTTGGTGTTTAAGCAGGTTCGTTTGGTTACTAAATCAAACCTGAAGCTAATGGTCACGGAATTGATGCCATTTACGACTACTTCCTCGGTCCAGCCAGGAAACACCGTTTTAATTTCTTTCGCTTATTTGAGGTTGCAGTACATTCCTTTTCGTACGTGCCAATGGGTACGTCAGGAATGCAATTCTCCAAGGGCGTGGCTACTTTAAGTGCGTTTTCGAGTACAGTCAACCACAACACGCCGAAATTGAGGGGGATTTTAAGGCATGAAGCCATCTTGGATCGTGAGTGCACCCAATCTTAGAGCATTCCTTCAGCTAGCCACAGAAGTTGCTGCCTACATGATACTCCAGTGTTGAGCTTACGATATACCAAAGTCTGTCTATCCATGCACAAATCCAGAAAAAACTTTTAAGTGTTGGATTGCGCAGTGACGGGATGATGCAATCATGGTTGGGAATATTTTTATTTGATTATTTACAAGTAAATGGCTGTCTCATGAGACTACCTTAGTTACGTGGACATCGTTTCAGCATGCAGACCTGTTTGACGAGCAAAAGGCAGTCATCATAGCGCCCCTCTTTCCTGGCCCTTTGGAGATCGTCCATGAGCTTGCTTATAATCTTCACCTTATTGTAATGAGAAGAACATTTCTCGTGGCTAGGATCCAGCTTCAGACACTAGCGAGTCGACCTGAGAGAGGGTCAGAGAAAGGAGGGAGAGTCTGGCAGAGTGGTAAGTAGCTACTGTGTTAATTTATAGTCATTCTGAATCTTTGACACTGAAAATTTTCACTCGTGTAGATGAAGGACACAGGAAGTTATTCTTGCAAAACGGATGTAATTGTTCGTTTTTCCTTGGCGCATTGCGTTTTCTCTTTGGCATGTGTGTGTGAACGCATGGCACGCAGGAAATGCTAAGTGTGAAATGGCCTTTACAGTAATCGATTGACTTTTTGCTATTGGGACTGATCCTTAGAATGTGGTGTGAGTTGGGCCTCTCTATTCTAAGTTTATGAATCAGAGTTAAGAAAAACAACGAAGAAAGAAAGGCGATTACTGAAGGGAATTCGAACTCTCGCCGAAGTCGTAATATCAATACAATAGAACCAGTTCCAGGTGACCCTCAGCTTTATCCACTTTTTTGCTGGGCATCTGGATGTGATTAATGTGCTCCCCCCGACTCCTTCGCCTTATTGTAGAGATGTCAGATGCACAGATGTCATAATCCGGATCCAATTTTCGACACTCGCGTGCCCATCTGGAAAGGAATGGTACAGAAATAGGGTCTATGGTACGAACTGGCTGGAATGAGGAAGGCAACATACTTGAGGGACTTCGTTGCCTCGCCACGTTTAAAATGCAACTGGGTCAATTTCAGGTAACTCTTTAAGTCGTCTGGAGTCAACTCGACTGTGGATTGAAGATCAAATATCGCTTTGGCATCGTCCTCGATCTCCAGATAGCAGCGCACTCTTAGCGCCCTCAAGTCGGTATCCCATGGTGCAAATTCAAGGAGGCGAGTAAGGATGGGAATAGCTTGACTGACCTACCCTTTCTTGGTCAGGTCATTTGCCTTTGCATACTCGAGGCGCATTTATTTAATCATTGCATAATCCGTCCGAGCTATAGCATGCTCTGGGTTCTTCCTTAGCTGTCAATCAAAATTTCTGCCCTATATTAATTGTAAACTTGGAGGGGAATTTAGAGTCTCGTTAATGATACCTCACCACTGCTTCCAGGACGTTGTGTGCTTCACCAAATGCCCCATTTTCATGCGAACACTTGCACGCTGCACTCGTGCCTGTCAAAAATCATTGCGATGACTACTTGGGCAATAAGGAGCTTAAATTCCAAAGACAGAAACGCGAACGGAAAAAAGCCCCTACCTTTCCGTTTTGAAAGAATGGGATGGGATTTTATGAAGTCATCAGTTGCATTTCCGGAATGTTTTTTTTTTTTCAAAGTCACATGTGACATGGAAATTTTAATATGACGAGCTACCTGCACGGTGGCTGGTAGGGAAGCTAAATGCGTCAAGGGGAAAAGCAAATTCGACGTTTAGGAGGCTGCCTGCTTTTATGGAAGGTCAAATTCAGCATTAAAATATCAGATTAAGTCGGGGTGAAGAAGGAAGAAAATGTACCACGATCAGAAATGGTAAAAATAAGGAATGTGTGTCAGCCTCTGTTGGGCTTATGAGCCTCGGTCTTCGCTTCTTGCATGCGGCCTAATCTCTGTCGATTTTTATTTTCATTTACATAAAATGCATTCCTAAATTCTGGAATTTCAGGTAGGACTAAAACAGATATTGTTATTCTATGAACATACCATTGGATCCCATTTCAGACACGAAAATGCCGTCAGCTTTGAATCATAAAGAACTTCGACAGCCTAGTGGACACCTAAGATCTGTCAGGCCATTGCTGCCAAGAGGAGGGCAGTATATGTCCAATAGCTCAAATCCACGTCGATAACGTAATCACAGGAGTTGAGTACGAGTGAGAGCCATTTTATTGATAGCTCTTTCTCAGTATTTGTTAGGCTCTGGAAGAGATGCTTTCTTTTTTCCTTCCTGTTAAGCTCAGCTTCAGCCTGGAGGGGGTCAATATCAGTAACGTCGAAGTTGAGATTCTTTTCTTTGCTGATACCATCTTTTCCGCCCAGTCTAGGAAGGAGCTTCAGAGAGTGCTGGACTGATTCAACCCTGAATGCCCTGCAGCTGGAATGAAACTCGGTGCCACGAAACACAGGTGAGGTTCTCCCAATAAATCCTTTGCAGAGCGCAGAAGTTTGAGCACCTTGGGCCCTGGTTCTCGAGGGAGGGGTGTTATGGGAATGAGATCGACAATCGCATCTTCAGGGCTTCTGTAGCTTTGTGAGAACTTTGGGGAACCGTGGTTGCTAAATCTGACATTTCCAAGGAAGCAATGCATAAAGTTTTTAGAGCTTTAATCTCTCACCTATGGTTATTTACGAGTACTTCTGGTAATATCTAACAGAATCAGATAGTGCATATGAACTGCCGAAATGAGGTTCATATTTCAGATAGCACCAGGCCAACTCGGTGCACGTTGTTGCGAGGGGCTCCTCCGCCTGCTTCAACCCATTAGATTGGGATGGGCCGTAATAAAGTGAACGAAAGGTGTGGGAAAGACGCAAATGAGTCTGCCTCCTTTTCCTGTTTGTCTCTTCCTCACTACAGACTACACGCTTGCGCACAATCCTCCAGGTGCAAATACATTTCACTGACAATTCCTTTGAGAAAGGAACCCACCTAGACGTGCTGAAATGCAGATAAACTTAAGAAATCAGTACTGCCAGCAATGCAAACTGCAATATGCATGTCATGTGTAGGCGTATCTATGGTCTAGGGGAAATGCAACGAGAAAGCGATTGAATTTATAAGGCCTGGAGATACGGCTATTGCTTCTGACTTTTAAGGTCAGATACGAGGGGCGTTCAAAAAGTTTCCGGCCTGAGAGGGAAGATGAACAGTTAGTGCAATGTTGCTTTTCCCCAGATTCTTCATTCAATGTCAAGAGGAAAACTAGCATATCCGGTCACCCAGCTAGTACTTTCCTTTTTCCACAGGTTTTTTGAAAGTGAGGTCGCTCTCGTGTTTTTGGAAAAATGGGAAAAATTGAGCTTCGTGCAGTGATTAAATTCTTGCATTTGAAGAACTTAACCGCAAAGGAAATCCACACTGAGATAGCATTGTCCCCTACAGTCACTATTTCCAATAGCATAGTGAAAATTCGGATAGCTGCATTCAAACGTGGCAGGCAGAGCACAGATGATGAGTCACAGTCAGGGAGACCAACAATTTCAATCTCTGATGAGAATGTTGACTGTGTGGAGGCTGTGGTGTATGCAGAACCTCGAACGACCATTATGCACATTGCTACGACCCTACAGATTAGTGCTGGTAGTGTAGAATCTATATAGAACAACCTCCAGATGAAGAAAGTGTCTGTAAGATGGGTGCCCAGAATGTTGAACCCAGAACAGAAGCAGCATCGCCAGCAAGTTTCGATGCAGCTTCTTGAGCGCTACCGGGCAGATTCAGCCGACTTTTTCTTCAGGGTCGTAACCCATGATGAAATATTGGTTCATCACTTCGATCCCGAAACTACGCACCAAAGCCTCCAGCAGAAAAACCTAGATTCACCACCCATTGAAAGTTCAAGACCATCACTTCAGTAGGCATTGTCCGGCCAGAAGCGTCTCATCCCCTTTCTCAACAAGAAGTATCCCAATGGGGATGTCATCTTCTGGCCGGACAAGGCAAGCGCCCATTATGCCAACACCGTTACGCAGCATCTTCAATCCATGGGAATTAAGATAGTGGAAAAAGAAGACAACCCCACTAATATCCTACAGGCAAGACTAGTTGAGCGCTACTGGGCAGAAATAGACCGACGGCTGGGCCTCTTCAAAACCCCTGCTGAAAATTTGGATGAATTATCTCGCCGAGTAAAGAAAGTGGTCAAGGACATTCCCAAAGGCTACGTCCAAGAGCTTATGTGTGCCCTGCGAACTAAACTGCGCCGCATCAGTGACTCTGGTGTGTATTTAGTTGAAGTGTGTGTTCCATTGAGCAGTGTTTGTATTCTGATATCATACTCACCTTTATTCTTCTTCCATGTGTAGAGAATTGAAGTTGATTAAATATTGGTGCGGATACATAATGGCAGTCCCTTATCACTTCTGACTCAAACGTAATGCGTACCAGGATTCATCAAAACGTAATATCGCACTTGCCATTGCAGCATTCGAGCGACTGCGTCTGAATGAAATGGTTGCCGATCCTACCATCATGTTGCATTCATTACATGTGCCCTTCCTTTATATGAGATATTGATGACACGGGGTGTTGTTACAAAAGGAGGCGGAAAGAAGCGGAATAATTCGAATCGAAAAATCGGGTGGCTAAAAAAAAAATTTATTTGGGAAAATGGCGTCTTCATATACAGGGTCATCAGAAAAAGACGCTCTAGTTTTCATTAGGAGTATTTTATAAAACTATACACATAGAATCTGGAATTATAGCTTACAAAACACAGGATGTTTGGGTGTTTTTAATTATGAAAACACATTTTGAATGTGGGAGCCTCCAGCATCCATGATCCTCTGCAGGCGTTCACCGGGGTCAATGATAACTGTGAATAGTGTTTGCTGATTAATGCTTTCCACGACAGTTCCGATTTCCGCCTTCAATTCTTCGACCGTATGTGAGTCATTCCTGTAGACATTAACCTTTAGAAGTCCCCATAAAAAGTAATCGCGGGTATTAAGTTCAGAAGAGTACGGTGTTCTTGAACATCCACATCTGAAGCGACCGTGATATCCCTTCTTATTGTCCTTCGCATTACCAGAATTTAAGAATTTTGTTAATGGCCTATTTATTGCAGATGTGCTTGGAGTGTCCCTACGTCAAAATTCACTTCGAGAACTACACCACTTTAATAACGCTGCCAGTTTGATAAAACTTTTTCACCATAAACACCCGCTGCTCTGTGATATACGCTAGCTTATTTGCTACTGTTTCTCGAAATTAGCACTAGGACTGCATAGTACGATACAAAAACCCCAAGCCTGACGTGTCGAATGATACCACATATGAGGTTGTTGGCAATGCAGTTCAGGAGATATAAGTGATGAAAACTGGAGCGTCTTTTTCTGATGACCCTGTACATGCCGCCAAGTTAAGTAAGTTGGGAAACCGATCGTCATTGGACGGTGATGAGTTGAAATATGGGTCAAGTTTATTTAGTACCCTTGTTTAAGCTATACAATTTAGAGGTGAATCGTTCCACTTCAAGCGTAGGAATGGTCTCTGGTCATTTCAGAATTCGAGTAAATTTGGCTTGCAATCAGAATGGTACTAGAAAGTAATGTCGAAAGCCAGCATGTCGTCAGAGTTGATGCTGTCTTGCAAGAAAAAGTAGAATGCCATGCAATGCTAAATGCACAATCGTCGTATGGGCATAATGTCGATTGTTACAATACTGAAGGCATCAAGATGTAGAAAAGCGTCGAATTATCGGAATGACGACATCTAAATGAGCAACGCACTATCCTGTTCCTTAGGTCCTGACATAATAAAAGAGCAGATTTCCTCTAACCCTTGGATCATCCAAGATTGTCTTGTCAAATCACCTGTTTGCATTAGGTAATTTTAATTACATCAGTCACAAACGCACTGCCACACTAATCCATCAGTCGAATCGGGGAAGTAATCGGGACCAACACGCACTACACGCATTATCATAAGGGTGGCAACGTTTCTGTCATTAATGGATATTCATTCACTCGTAAATGGAGCACGGAGAGCATGTATTGGAGGTGCCAGAACCGGTATGTCTCACTTCAAACTTGAGGTGGAAGGGGAATTTTTTAATGGTGAATGATGGTGATGGGTGAAACAAGGATGCTAGAAAAGATATAATCTCCATTAAACTCCTCCCAGTCATCAAGTGACGATTTGTTGTTTAGGTTACCAGTTTCAATCGCATATATGAAGGCACCCATTCTTCCATAGAAAACGATGGGACTTAATAAGTCACCTTATATTCCACATAGACAAAGAGCTGAAGATAACCTGATGACAAACATGTGAATTTGGAAACACTCTATTTCTAAACACTTTTTCTTGTCGTGAATGAAACGTTCAAAATGTTTCATCAGACTTCTCACTACTCGCAATTTAACGAAATTCCTTTTATTTTCTAAATATACAGTACTTGATTTTTACAAGACACAATAGCGCCTTATAATAAATAAAACATGATATATAGTACTTTTTGCTTACTACAAGCAAGAACTGTCGCACATAAATTTACTCAGAATTTCCTTTCTATAAAAATTTCCGCCCCTCACAATTCCATCAGTGCACTGAAAACTAGAGACTTGAACTGGCGGATTGGGATGATGCGGGTTTCCATCCTAATTGCATGTCTGAATGGAAGAGCAATGCCCTTGTACGTTAGGCATTCCATGTGCGATATCAGTAAGGGAAAGCTTGAGGAGCCAGTCCAAAACAAAGAACCCATGTGTCCCTACAGGGAATCTGTAGGATCTCTATATTCTGATACAATTTTCCAGAAGAATCCAGTGAGATTTCTGAGGCCAAAAGATCTCGTAGGAATCCGCTTGGAACGAAGAAGTGGAAATCACTAAGACTTGCTTCTCTGTCTTCCTTATTCGTACAATATACAGTATAATGCTACCTTGTATAATACTTCTACATGCGGAGTAAATGCGAGTAGTTTCTTGTCTCTCTCCATTCAATGAACCATCTTGGACGTCTTTTTTGTGGAATGGCATCCTTTCCTGCTTACTTGACCGGAAACTTGTATTGAGAGTTAGACTTTAAATTTATATTGTTTGTATTTACTAAAGAGGAAGGATAACAGGAACCGTCATTTAAAATTCATACCGCTATAACAAACATGTTTGGCTATCTTGAGCATAGTGAGAATTGGACGGGGAAAAGACCATTTAAAATGAAAGTTCTTGTGTTTGCAGACGTGGACTCTAAGGAAAAGGAAGAGCTAATGAAGAAAGGAAAGTCAATGGATTTGTTTTGGTCTTACCTCCCGTCTGGATACAAAAACCTCGAGAAGGAATTCTCACCTCATCGCAGGATACAGAGAGACTTCGCAAAGTCTAGGATCAGAATCAAGTAAGTTAGGTACTTCTCCTGTAGGAGGATAGAATCCTGCAATACTTTTTGTCTTAGAAATCCTATAGGACTCCTAAAGGTTTTTTATTTTTTATTACAAGGAATCCTTTAGGAACCTTAACAGCCACAAGCCTTCGTAGAGTCCTATATTTATGAGGTGCTTCAGTGAAATGATAGAGAATCTGTGTTCACATTCCTCTTTTTCTTCTTTTCATTATGTGATTGGTGTTTTCAGAAGAGCCTTATGCTCATGGGCAAAAAGTGTGATAGTGACTTAACAAAATTCGAGGGGCTACAGTTCGTTTGAAGCCCGAAGAGAAACTTCGCGAAGGCCAGTCATACATATTAGATCGACACCTTGGTCACCAGAGATTGTGAAGGTATAAAATCTCACTAATGGCATTTTGATATTCCTGGAGAGCATCCTTGTATGCACCGCGAGACTGGAATCGCTGCCCGAGTTTGATGTGCTCCACGGCTTCCTCTGCCTTCGAAGACTTCCAACCTGATGACAACTCTTGGGAATGACTGGGAATGACAGGAGAACGTGACAGGAGACAGTGAATTCTGGACAAACCCTGGAGAGGTGTGTATTTAGTTGAAGTGTGTGTTCCATTGAGCAGTGTTTGTATTCTGATATCATACTCACCTTTATTCTTCTTCCATGTGTAGAGAATTGAAGTTGATTAAATATTGGTGCGGATACATAATGACTAGGTTACATTCGTCGGTCGGTTGCGAGTAGGGCATCTCGCGTTATTCTTTCGTTGTATGTACACGAAAACATATACAATGTATACGTTGTACACGAAAACATATACTTGATATTATGTTTGACAAGGTTCGGGAAACACATACGCGCATTTTAAAAACGTTATACTCCTTAATATTGCATTGAAATTTAAATTATTTCGAATACGAACATTACAAAAATTACGCAGCTTTTTCAGACATACTGTACCATCAACATCTCCATACTTAGCTGCCATTACTTTTTATATATTCATTACATTTTTAAATGTAACCTACGAGGACTAGAAAAATGCGGAGAATAGAATTTCTAGAAATTAATCCCATCCAAAACTGTCACGACCTTCAAAACTGGAAATTTGCATCCTGTATATTTGAACTGGGACACACTTGAAATATTTTAAATTCATGTACACTACAGCAATATTGAGAACATGTCATTAAATGACACTCATTGCCTTGGTAAGGTTGAGATAGCCATTGGCTCGGTAAAAAGGGGGGAGGAGTCGTGCTGTACGCTGAAACTGAACTGGACGTTCGCGTCGGAGATCTCACCTCGGCTAACTATGGAGCAATCGAACACTTATGGTGCGAGATCGGTGGGGCAGCTGGGAAGATCGTGATAGGAATTTGCTATAGGCCCCCTAACTCCTCTCTCGAGGATGAAGCAGCATATTTTGCACTCATGCGTAGGATCAGCGAGATTTCGAAGCAGGTATTGCTCTTCGGAGATTTTAACGTGCCAAACATAGACTGGTCAGTGCCGCGAGGGGGGAGCGAAAGGGATAGGGAATTTCTCGTTGCGGTTCAGGATGCTCTTCTCTTTCAGTACGTAAATGAACCGACTCGCGAGGAAGCTTTATTGGATTTAGTTTTTGCGACGAACGACGATCTGGCACTAGACGTTAAGGTACAGGATAATTTGGAAGATTCGGACCACTGCGATCACGTGGAATATCAAGCGGGCGAAGAGTAACGCCAAACCAACGATGGTTTCCGTACAACTATAAGAAGGCTAATTTCGAGAGACTACGCGAATGCGTTTCGGGCATCGACCTGGAGGTGCGGTTCCGTGGGCTGACGGTAGAGGAGCAGTGGGGGGCGTTCAAGACGTTATTGCAGGGCTTTATGGAGAGAACGAAAAGAGGGAGTTGATTGCAAGTGATAAAGATATGGCCAGTATACTTAACGAGTTCTTTGCTTCCGTTTTCACTGTGGAATCCGTCTCGGCACCGACTTTGGGGGAGGTGACCTCGGCGCGCATCGAGGATGTTTCCATCACCGAGGAGACGATCGTGAGTATGATAGGGAAGTTAAAGGTGGGCAAGGCGACCGGCCCCGATGGAATTCCTGCTCGAGTCATCAAGGAAGCCGCGAGAGAAATGAAGGGTTGAAAGGCAAAGTGGTCTATCTGCAAAAAATTTCCGAAAAAAGTTTTGGTTTTTTTGTGCTTTAGAACCTTGTTCCTTTCATAGAAATTATAGTTTTTTTTTTAATTAGGTAAAGGAGGAAGTGCTTTATCGATACATACCACTTTTTCTTACTTTTAACAAGACGGTCACTGGAATATTCATTCATTCCGTGTGGAGCTCGAGGAAAGAAGTTTTCGCAGATAGACCACTTTACCTTTCAGCCCTTCAAATATCGGTTCCGCTAAGAATCATATTTGAAAGCAGCTCGACCTTGACACGTGATATCGAAATGGGTGTAATCGCCTTTTGATGTCACTAACTACCTTGAACGGTTGAACTTTGTCGCCGGAAGGAATTGAAGAAAGGTAATGGCGTCCATTGATTAAGTTCAGACACTATTCCGTACATTATTACAAAACTAAGCATTCTCGGTCGGTGCCGTATCGAACTTAGGTACTGGCTGAATTGGTTTCACCCCACCCTTTAATGTTTCATCCTTCAACTACTGTAGTGTTGGCTATTTATGGTCATGAATGCATACTGACAAAAATAGCCAATTGAAGTCAATATTGTGAATGACGAAGAACATGTCAAGTGGAAACGGAGTCCCTTAAAGACAGGTGAATGTACCACAATTCAGACAGACTTTGTTGCCAGGTAGATCGGAAGTAACTGGGCTTACCGTCATCTATTAGGAACAAAGTACTCTTGATCCCAGTATCCATGAGGAATTTAACTAACGCGGGTTCGGGTCCTTCAGCAGGGATATGCCAATCCAGTCTCACCAACAGAGAAGTTCAAACAAGCACGTGTGTCACTTACGTGCCTCTGTCACTCTTCAGCAGACTGCAATTGTATATGAATTGTTAGATCTCGGAAAGTAATACAACCGATGAGGAGAGATCTCCCTTTTCTTTCTAGAGCATCTTTATTCTCGCATCTTGAATAAGGTCAGCAGTCAATGAAGAAAGGAATCTACTCAATGAAGACAAGAGAAAAAGAAGTAAGGAATGAGCAGGAGGAGCATAACACTTATCTTTTGTCATAAAAAATAAATGGGGAATTTGCAAAACGATCTTCACCAAGTTGCAGCGTCAATGAAAAACATCCTGTAGAGTTGTAATTGCATTTTGAACGCGTTGGTAATTGGGATTTCCCTGATGCCATAAAAATGCATGACGACTGGGTGTCTTCCTTCGTGCTTCGATTTCATGTGTCTTCGTTGTGTCTACTGGCATGTCTTTAAAATGGGAGACATCTGACCAGAGTGAATCCATTTCCGTGGAGAATACCTCCTGTTCTCGTGCATCATTTGAGTCATAATAGGCATCAATAGCATACATGGGTATCTGTGGTTCTTCCTTTTCAAATTCTTCGGGAACTTGGACAAACTCATCTTTTGAGAATGAATCCCAAAGAATCTTCTTGATTCTCTCCAAGGTCAAATGAGGTTTTTGTAACTGACGTCGACGTTCGTCCTTCTCACCGAAGTGCCACTTGCTAAAGACGATTATCAAATTGCTCAGTAAATAACCTCCAAAAATTTCAACCAAAGTTTGGAAATACTCCTGTTCCTGCTTGTTATATATGGGTTGCTCGCCATTCTTCACCCAAATGAAGGCGTGCACTGCTTCTTCATTTTCCAGAGCAACTTTTATTTTTGACCATTCGTCATGATTTTTTGTATTCCCAGCGCCTGGTGCATCATAAATACGAATGAGTTTACGTCTGTCTTCTTGCCAGTAGCCATCGATGAAATTGACGACACTGGTACCTTTCTCTTCGGTTGTCCTTGTTTTGAATCCTTTCTCACCACCATTGGGGGGAAGGCCAAGGAGGACATTGCCAATGGTGGACTTCCCACTGCCTGTCTCTCCGACTAGGCAAATCGTCAATGCCTTGTGCGTGCTTGAATCCATGCCTGGATCTTGGGAAGCAGACACGTCTCCAGATCCACAAATTTTATGTGCTTCCATCCTTGTGAGTTAAGGAGATGAGAGGATGTCAACATGGATGTCAAAATTTAAAGGTAATGGGGAAACGTAGGCTAACCCAGGTATCAACTCGAGATGAAGTCCCAGAAGCGGACTTCACTTTATCAAGATATCCTAAAAATGGGCTTAGGCCAAGAAATCCAGCAAAAGAGGGCGCAGACAGAAAACGTACTCTGGGAAACGTAGACAAGAAACGTCTCAGTCCAACTCAAACACGAATAAGATAACGGAGATCGAATTGTCTAGATAAGTAGAACCCAAATGGAATGCGATAATGCGCTGATGCACTGCATTGGACAGGACGCGCTCAATGCAATGGCTTGCGCATGATTTTGTGCATGCCAACTGCCATGTGTCATCTGGTGAATAAAGCCCGCTTGCCTTAGCTTCCTTGTCTTATCGGCGACGCCGCTGCGTCCAATTCCTATGATTTCGAAAGCACAAACGCGAAATTAGCAGGAAGCAGAAGCATGACTGGTGAGTGCTGTTGTCAGGTATGGGAAATGAAAGTAATGCGTCTCGATCACAGGATACCTCCATGAAAAAATTTTTTAGCGAACCAGGTACCCTGCAAAAGTTGGCGCGTGAATCTCTTTGGTAAATGGCAATTGTAGAACTGTCTTCCACTAATTCGGATGGATTACCTTGTGAAACAGAAAAATGAAGCACTTGCTCGGTTCAAAGTAAAAAATCCACAGCATAACTGAATAGTCGAACACATGCGTCCGACTCTCGTCATCGGTATGTGGGGAAATAATTTTGATTGTATAATTGGGCTGCCTCCTCATAGCACTTAACTGAAAATTACTATAATGCAATCATTCCAGGATGACCTCTGCCAGCGGTGATTTATCAGTCCCTGTGAGACTGTAATATAAAGGAGCTAGCGATGATACTCACTAGGCAGACGTTTTTGGCGAGACCTTAGCCGCCGCCATGGCAAAGCCCTCCCTCCTAGGATCACCCCTCACAGGCCGATCCCTGCAGGACGAGATCGTCGCCTTTACACCAGACACAGTCACCCCACACCCAGACATCGCCAACATCTGGCGTCCCATCGAACATGAAGAAATCGTCGACACACTCCGATTCGTGGCCAACAAAACCCCAGGGATCGATACGGTATTCTTCTCGTCACTGAAACACGGCGCGGCGAAGCTAATTGATCGGCTGTGCGACATGTACAATACTAGCAGTGCACGTTTTGCCTTCCTGGAAATCTGCGATCGTTCAATGATCCCGAAGCCAGGCAAGGATACCGCCGACCCCTCGTCCTTCAGACCGATCAGTCTCCTGAGCTGCATAGGCAAGCTTCTGGAGAGGATCGTCACCACTAGGATCACATCACACCTGGAGGATAACCATCTCCTCAATCCTTTCACCGCGGCCAACAGTCAAACAGGAGGCATACAGTCGAACAGTTCACACGCCCGACTCATGGCGCTCTACGCAGCGTCCACACAGGCATGCACTTCCTGGCCCTCTTCTTCGACTAGGGTTGCCGGGTGGCAACCCTAGTCGAAGAAGAGGGCCAGGAATTCATCATTAGTATGGACAGTACATATTTCAGATGCAATGTCCATACTGCAAACTGGTCCTAATATGGACACTATTTTGTCCATATTTTAAACTTAAGGTTTTATTTTTTAAGTAAAGCTTAATAGCAGCTAATATTGTTATTTTCCGTAAGTCAAAAGCAGCAGGCCACACTCAGTATCGATTGGCACCTTGGTTTACGATGGCTTCGGGTATATTTCGAATATTTGTCCATATTTTCTTAAATTCAAAGGTGGCAACCCTACCTTCGACGTCACTAAGGTGTTCGATAAAGTGTGGCATCAGGGCCTCCTTTACAAATTACACCATCAGCTTCATCTACCCTCGCCCGCTCTCGGGTGGATACGGTCATTCTTGTCCGATCGCACCTTTTCAAGTACGGGTCAACGACCGGCTGTCCGGCAAATACACCGCCAAAGCCGGCGTTCCTCAAGGTTCCGTACAGGTTCACTACTCACACAACTTCTATTCCATGTAAACGACATACCCAATCACATCCCAAGGCCTGTATACGTTAGCCAGTATGCGGATGACACAGCCATATGAATTACACGACGGTGCGAAGTAAGACTCGAAGAGGACGCACAATTAGTCCTTGATGTCCTCTCGTCTTACTGCAAGGACTGGAGGATCTCTATGAATTCCTCCTAATCCTCATACCTAGAGGATCGCCCACAGATCCATACAACTTCAGGCTGTGGATGGATGGTATACTTCTTGGGTTGGAGGATGGAGGACAGGTTGGAGGCCATCTTATTTTTTGCAATTTTCTCAGTCAGAGTACAAAGGAAAACAGAAGTGATAAAAAAAAGAAGAGATGAAAGAAAAAAAGTAGGAAAAGGAAGTGTGGGGGGGGGGAGATCTCAATTGGGAATGAGCATCTGATGCTGATGTCCACGCTGAGAATGGGAAAATAAATTATTCAAGGTTTCAAGAGCATTTTGAGCTCGTTGGTAGTCGGGGGATGGTTCGCGTGCCACAAAAGCGCAGGACCTCTGGGCGTCCTTGCTCGTCTTTAGTTTCCCGAGCTTTTGTTTGTGTCCACTGCCAGGTCCTTGATCTCAGAGACAGTGGACCAGAGTGAGTCCACTTGCTCCTGGAACACCTCGCGCTCTTTAGCGTCGTTTATGTCGCGATGGGCATCGACAGCCTTCATGGGTATCTCAAATTCTTCTTTTGAAAATTCTTGGAGATATTCTCGTCGTAAGAGAATGCATCCCAAAGACTCGTTTGGACTCCCTTCAAAGTCATTAGTGGTCGCTGTAGCTGACGTCGGCGTTCATCTTTCTCATTGAAGGGCCACTTGCTGAATACAACAACCAAGTTCCTCAAAAAAGAACCTCCAAATATTTCTGAGTCTTGTTTGGTGATTCGTGCAAAGAGACTCCGAACACCGCCCCCCCCCCCCTCCCCCCGAAGGTAGAAGGCTCAATCCCTAGCGTCCAAAAAGATGCAGAAACGGAAGATATTTCCACTTTGAGGTAAAACTGAGGGTGGCATCCATTATTGCTTCGTTCATTCTGTCACGTTTTGGCGCCCCTGGTGAATTTGCGCCCTGTGCAGGGCACATATGGCACATGCCTAAGGCCCGCTCTGCTTTCATTACTTCTATGACTCGTGACAGGAGACGCAGTGCAGTGGAGGGCTCATTCTGGAAGAGCCTATCGCGTGAAGGTATTCCGCGCGAGAAGTGAGGCTAAAATTTTTCCCGAGTTCTTATATTTTTTACATGACGTCATTCCTTTATTTTGTAACGCAAACAGTTGAAACTTCAAAACCATGTTCCTGTACTTTCTAGCTCTGCATGTATCAAATATTAAGCCCATTCTACTTTTCATTCCGGAGATCTAAGCCATTATGTCATCCGACATTTTTGCCGGATTTCTCCATGGCAAACCGGTTAAGGGTTAAGGAACTGTGACACAACTCAATCTCAATCCCTAAGTGGGTGGAATTCCTCTGTCACTCACGTGAAAGACTTTTCTATCAGGAAAATACTTCAGTTCAGATAAGCATTGAAATCTCCAACCTTCTATCACAGACTTTGAAAATATGAAAGGAAGCATGCATCACAATGCCATTTTTAAAGCCATTAAGATAAGTTTTCAAGACAGGAAGGCGATAATAGAGCTTGCGGCATATGAGCAATGGTCAAAGCCAATGCCGCGAATCGCCAAACAACTTCTTCAAATGATCAATCTACGAGCGCTCTCACAAGAGTTGTTTACCCGTTTTTGATGAGGACGGGGACGCGAACGTACTACTTGGCGTTCAAGTTATTGATTTTCGAATGGCAGTTTGTCTACGCGTTCCAGATCTGGAACGGAGAGTAACATTCCACGGATCTCACCGCAGATGGTGTGCAAACGACACCTGATTTAAGGGGTATGGTCGACTCAGGGCCGTTTCTAGGGGCGAGCGAGGCGGGCGATCGCCGTGGGCGCCAGCTGAGGGGGGACATCGGCGGAGGGGGGGGGGGGGGGGGGCGCCGTGGAAAGAAACACCATAATAAAACAGGCATTTTTTATGTGGTTAGCGTCCACTTTATGCGAACTAGCACTAATCGGGACGATATAATAATTAAAATTATTAATGACATTTCATGTTATGCCGTGCAGCCTCCTACCAGCGTACTAGTGAGTCTGATAACAGTTTCATAATCGGGCAGAAGCCCTTCCGCCTCCTCCCAGCTTTCCCCTAGCATATGCGGTACGATGCCACGCTGCGACTAGGCAATAGGCATCAGGTAAGACCGTCATGATAAGTCGATGCATCGATACCACTATCGATGGTTGGAAGAATCGATAGTTTTTTTCGACCATCGCGATGTATGCGCCAAATGATGGGAAATGCCCCATTGGATTGAGACGAGTACAATACAGTCCGGGCGGGGAAAGGAAGAGGCAGCGTGATCCGCATGGGCGAGCAATTTCTTATCACAATCAATTTCTGGAAATGCTGGGACTGACTATATGAAAGAAGAAAGGAAAAAAAAAAAGTTCAAACGGGAGACAGGAAGTGGGAAAGGAGAGGGAAGAAAAACTTTTTTTTTTCTCTTCTGTTTCAGTCTTCGGCTTGATCTCATGAGGTACACGCTATGAAAGTGTTCTTGTACTCCATATCGAAACGTACATCAGTTAATCCCCCTCTCTATAATCCTGTTTTTTTCTATTTAGTATGGAGGCTTAGGTTTTTTAATTTGTAACTTGCCCTGGGGAATTTTACCACTTAAGGTGAATCCAAAGTGAATTATTTATTCGGACATCGCTTGAATCTAGGGATGTTTCGGCAACCGCAGGTGTGGCACCATCGACAAGTTTCCTAAGAAACACAATAATAAAAAGTATTTTTTATATGGTTAGCGTGGAGGTAAATGCCTTGACTTGGCTTTGATTACAGTGGATTCCGCTTTATTGGGCCATCAGTTAATGGGGCAGCCTGTTTATCGGGACATTTTATCAGGAACGGATCCATTTCTATGCAAGGGCATAGAAATGTCACCGTATTTTCTGGACGAAAATCCGCTTTATTGGGGCAAGGTCGGGGTGAATTTAAGCCGTCTGTCCCAGATGTATTTTTTTTTCCGCCCTCTCTCTCCCTCCTCTTCGTCGTGTGTTTTGTGGTTAAGAACTGGCCGACTGTTAAAGCAGAGACCACAGCAAACTGCTTCCGTGGATCTGGCTTTCTTCCTGGACCAGAGGTGCCAGCGTCAACCTATGAGGAGTGTCTGACTATTCGTGATGTCATTAACGGAGAAACCTTCGTCAAACCGACGAAAACGCACCTTGCTTCGCCGAACACGATGACTCCGAGGACGACACAGCCTCGGACATCGTTGCCATGAGGCCTCGCTTAGGGGATGTCGCAGACGAGGAACCTGAGACTTTACCTGAGGTGACTCACGTACGAAGCCAGGCGCTCGGTGAACATCCTTCAGCGCTACTTTATTGAGCAGGGTTTGGATGATAGAGGACATGGTGCTTCAGAAAAGCTTTTTTCAGGTAAGATACGGCAACTATGGGCATATGAATCGTAATTTTTCGTTTTGCACAAGTAAAGGACATTCGTGTCTGGGTTTCTTACTATACTAAAAGGTAAGTTCGCTTTATTAAGGCAGCCGCTTAATTGGGGCGAATAGACATGGAACTAACGTGTCCCAATAAAACGGAATTCACTATATTTTAAAATGTAACAAAATGATTTCCATCAGTTCCGGGGATAAGGCCCTAATCGCCAGAGCTGCGGTGGTGCTACGCGTCGCAGTTGGTTTGGTGGGTGAGGGGGGGGGGGCGCCATTGGAACTCCTTGCCCTGAGCGCCAATATGCCTAGAAACGGCCCTGGGTCGACTCAGTGATAAACCGCTAAGGTATAACCTGGTAAACTCACAAATCCCCAGATATTCAAATGTTTGCATTTCCCCCTTGGTTTGATCTTCTCTGATGGCGAAGAGGACATGACAGTTGTTTTGGGGGATATTTAGCTAAAATCCAAGTTGTGGATGTGAGACAATTGTCTAGAAATCCAACCCAGGCATACTGTGCCTAGAGTTTCAGCTCCTTCGCCATCAATAGTGGCTTTCCTTCCTGGATGACTGACTTGAACGAATCAAGCGTCTATCAAGTCGTTCCTGATTGATGGATCTTGCGTCGCGTTCACGTTCCTGAGAGAACGGCTGGAAGAGTCCTTCCAAGTCTTAGACGTCTTCCTCACGCGTTTTAAAACTGCTGGTGACATCAGCTATCCTAATTCCCTTGCCATCCTCTCAAGAACGGGTAACCAACACTCTCTATTGCCTATAGTCGAATTTCCAACATACTCCCATCATATACTTCCACGGCGGTATTCCAACTTCCCTAGACAGCATGCGGCTTTCCGTCCAAGGATATGAGATCGTGCTTTTCCCGTCCTTCCACCAGACTTGGCCAGATTACTTTTTCTGCCACAACCTTGGGTTTAAAAATTGAATATAAAACTAAAAGTTGCAGAAAATTTAACATTTTCACAAAAAATCCTGAGTTGTTTTTATTCTTGAAAAGCAACGTGTGCATGTTTCGGAAATTATATCCTTTACTAAAATGAGTGAATTGTGGGATAGGGAGGCCCAGTTACAAAATTAAATATGAAAAATTTATTTGTATGCCATATGTATAGGTGAAAGGTATTGTAACAGATTTAAACTAAATGACCATACTTTCTTTCCCCATAAAACACAAGTTTATTTCCAAATAGCCACATGTATTAAACTCCAACTGGCAGCAGAACCTAGAAGGCTGTAGCAGTAGATATTTTCCAGACAGTTGTTTCACTGTGAAGGCTGAAAATTTGCATTTGATACATTTTCTCAATATTGTAGTATCAAGATGTGTGTTACCAGAGGAACAAAACTAAAATTTATTTTTCTTCATAATGGATGGGTGGGGAAAAAAAATGAATATTTGATGAGGTCAATTGTAAATAAATAGGACAAAGGGATAAACACTTTTTTCATGCAGATTATATACTATATTTCATTACCTTACATCAACATAATTTAAAGTAGGGCTGTCACGATAGGTCGATGCATCGATACTACTATCGATAGTTTTTCGACCATCGCGATGCATCCACGAAGTATTTTAAAGGAGAAATGTCTCATTGGGATTAAGGCGAGTACAGTACAGTACAGTCCGTCAGGGCGGGGAAAGGAAGAAGCGGCGTGACCCGCATGGGCTTGCGATTTATTATCACAATCAAATTCCGGAAATCCTGAGACTGACTATAAGAAAGTTGGGAAGGGAAAAAAAAGTCGGATCGGAGACAGGAAGTGAGAAAGGAGAGGGGGGAAGACCAAGAAAAAATTTTTTTTCTCTTCGGTTTCTGTTTTCGGCTCGATCTAATCAGGTGCATGCTACGAAAGCGAACTGTTCTTGTACTCCCTTGATTTCGAAACCTACATTTGCTAATCCGCTCTCTAAATTCCTATCACTTTAGTATGCAGGCTTTATGTTCTTAATTTTTAACTTGCCCTAGGACATTTATCTTTACTTAAGGTGAACTCAGAGTGAATATTGTACATAGACGTTGCTTATACTAGGGCTGTACCGACGTTTCGGCAACCGCCGGTATGGAACCATCAGCAGGTTTCCTATCTGGCGGTGCCGATGTCCAAAGACATTGTAGAACGAAGAAAAAGAGAAGCTTGGCAGCTGATTCTCAACGGCAATAGGAAAAATTAGGGTTGTCCTGATGCATCCATCGATGAATGGATGTCATCTTCGATAGTTGGAGGCATGATAGGTGTCATTACTCTTTGCGAAGGTCATACATTCCCCCTGCACTCCCGACAACAAACGTGAGATAATAGAAGCCGGATAGAGGTCCGCCCTCTGATCGCGGTGAGAAAAGATGGAATCCTCCCGCCCCCACCCGATGCATCGATACACTATCGATAGTTCAGGTCGATGCATCGATGTTTTGAAAACTGCTATCGTGACAGCTCTAACTACAAGATGCATAAAAAATTGGAATGATAAATTCCTTATAACTTTGAACATCATCCCTCCCACTTCACCATAGTCTAGTACAGGACATTTTGCTCCTATTTGAGATGTAACCCTGATGTAATTTATCAACTTTTGCTGTACAGGTTATTTTCAGTGCATAAATTTTACAGGGTTTAGAAGAAAAATTTACTACAAACTTTATAGAGATTTTGCAGATGTAAATAGTTGCAGGTTACTCAATAATATGTACTGACATAATCATGTCAGTAAAGGTATGGCTGGAGAAAAGTAAGATTGAAACTAATAATTAAAGTTAATTTTGAACATAAAATTGACCCTTGGAGGATACTGCTGCCTTACCTACCTTGCACATAATAAATAATGTAAGAGGTAAGTTGTAGAAGACATGCTGTAGCTTCTTCCTAAAGCACTCCTCTTTTATTTATAAAACTTTTAAGAAAAGGAGAATGGAATTGGATTTATAAAAGGCGGCCAAGTTCATTTTCAACCTCACGGATTTGGGCTTGAAGTTGGCGAGCTCTTTGAGCTGAAGCCAAAAGAGCTTGGATGGCATGGTCTTCCCTGTCAACATCAGCTGCCCCAACCACAATTGCCTTGACTAACTGACTTTCTACTTTCACCAACTGCTTACGCAGATCTGCAATGTCTCTACGGAAGCCTTCAGATTCTAGACGTCTTCGTCTATCCAACTCCTCATACTTCTTCCTCAATAATGTCACCTCTTCCTTCATTGCTTTGCTTCGAACCTGTTAGAAAGAATGGAAGGAAATAAATAAGAATTGCTTATGTTTTACTGCATAACTACTTCATTAAACCAGATGGATAAATTTTCCATATTCATTGTAAAAGCTGAGTTACTGATTCTCATTTAAGCAGAACTCTATACCATATGCCAACTTGTTACACAAAAAACAAACAATAACTTAAACCCAAGGTTAAATAGCAGTTCATATTTTACTATTGGCTCCCCTAATGTTATTTACTATTCATAAACCTTCATGTTTCACCTACCTTCATAGGCAAAAAATTTATTGCAAAATTAAATGATATTTGTATTTACTTTGACAAGTCACATCATACATGAATTGATGAGTTTTATTAATAGCATGCAACTTCACCCTCTCAGCCATTATACAGGGTGAACCAAAAAAAAGTTAAAAGTTTTAATTGTTTATAAAATTGTTGCCGTATATCAGGGGTGTCAAACTCAAATCGGTCGGCGGGCCGCATTCCTTATCCTGCAGATGCCTGCGGGCCACACCCATACTTTTTCACCGAAATTTGTGCTATCAGTCAATCCAAGCGGAAATTTCAACAGGCGGCGGGCCGGATGAACCACCTCCGCGGACCGGATCCGGCCCGCGGGCCGTATGTTTGACACCCCTGCCGTATATGATATGAATGTTTTACAAGTTTTGTTTGCCAGATAAATGATTTTGATGAGTTTTTTACCTGGAATAGGACAAAAAAAATGCCACAGCTAAAAACTGAGGAGAGAATATTCATAGTGGAAAACAACGTGGAGCTGCAGTCAGTTACCAGTATTTTAAACGTCAATTCAGAACGGCATTTCCAGGACTTAAAGCACCAAGTGCCAAGTGACCAAACAACGCATTATTAACAAGGAATGCTGGACATTCAGGCCATCAAAGGGATGTTCAAACACGAGAGAATTCTCAAAATATCGTGGATGCAATTTATGTGAAGCACAAAAAGTCAACACGTCACATGTCCAATGAATATTGACCTAAAGGGTGCAGTGACACGCATAATTGCAGGTGTTACTTATCAAAACTTGTAAAAAAATTTTTGGTCCACCCTGTGTAACAATCAAATTTTTACAGATGGTCCTTCCTCTAGACAGTAAGCAATGCAGATGAACATACCTGATGAGATTCCTGAAGAGATAACATATTTTCTCTTTCTTGGCAGAGTTGAGCTTCCAAGCTGAGCACTTGCGATTTATAATTCTCTGCCTGACTTCTTGCTTCTTGAAGTTTGGCCTGGAAGCAAATGGTAATATACATAACCCAACCTCTTAAGATTTTTAATACTCGACTTTGTGCTTTAACCTACCACCAAATTTTGTCAACATATAAGAGAAGTCATTGCTATTTTGCTAGCAAGTGAAGTGGTTACTAATTTTTTGTTAAAGCTATGGATAGAGCAGTGAAAATGTTAATGTATAGTAATACGTCTTTAAGCATGCATAGCAAGGTTAAGTTATATATAATGATGAGCAGGCTAAAGTAAGTTTGACAGACTGCAGAAATGGAATATAGTATTTGTTAGTGGCATTGTTCTTTTACCCCATAGAAAACAAGAAATTTGGTAAGGGGAGGTTTCCTGCTTACTACATGTGCCAGTTTATAATTTTATCCAGGGGTGGAAAAAGTTCTGTAACCTGGTAACCAGGTTACCGGCAAGGGTAGCAACCGATCGGGTAGACAAGGCAGGGAAAACAAATTAACTGAGACAAGGATAGCAAGTCGGAGAGAATAAAATGATGCGAAAATAAAGAGCGGGAAGATAAGAGATGATAATGGATCGAAAGAAGGTAAACGACGACAGTTTGCGAAACGATAGCGGAACCGGGAAGACATCTCCAAGCGACTGACGTCGATAAATTCAGATACGAGTATCTGGATTTTTTCTCCCCGTGCCGAGCGCGTAGGCAAAAAGATTTTTGCTCGTTTCCTCAATGCTGGGGTTGTAGGTTCTCGCCCCAAGGAGTAGAATAGAAAAAGGTCGGATTAAGGGAGGGGCAAAGGGGGCTGTTGCTCCGGGCCCCATTCTTCCAGAAAAATAAGAACTACAATCACATAAATCCAAATCTAAAGAGCATATTGAAGGTTAATTTTCTAAACTGGTTATTCATATACTGGCTACTCCTCTTTACATTGACTATTTGTATATACACTGGTGGACAAAATTAAGGTAACAATCACAAAAACCAGAATAACTTCTTTATTCTGGGAGTTAAATTGTATCTGTACAATTTTCATTGATATATCATTACTGATGAGTGTATAAAAAAGGAGGAACGTTCAACTGGTAATAACAGTCATGATAATTACATCATGGAATGAAAAATTACATGTACCGACAGACATGCTTAGAAGAAGGCAATCACTGCCATCCTATTATAGGCTTTACTAATCTGCATGTTGCAATGCACATAGATCAATTTTGATTGGATATTCAGAAGTTGCATGTAAAAGTATGTATAGTAATGTATTTTCACATTCTAACTTTCTACTATAATTAAAATAGACAAAAAACAGTGTTACCTTACTTTTGTCAATCAGTGTATGTCCTGTTTCTGTCAAGAGATTAACACGTTGGTGACAATGCGTCCTGATGCCAGGATGCAGATTTTTTTTCAATGAATACCCTCTGGAACTGAGTTCCAGAAGATTATGATTTCGTAATTACTGATAAAAAATTCAACATTTAAAAAAAAACTCGGCAAAAAAAATGTTTTCTGGGACCATGCGTCTTGATGGCAGGACGCATTTTTAATTTTAAAAAATGCGCGTGGTCCCACGTGGCGGACAAGCAAAAATAGGCTGGTCGTCAACGTGTTAATAAGTCAGATTACCTGTCTATGTTGTACTCTTGGCACATCAAATTTGTGAGGATAAGAAGCTAAAGTACTTGTATTCATTTCCTTTATCTATAGAGATCATTTTAAAAAATTTTAATTTTTTAAAATGTATTCATTTTTTTTAAATGAATACAATTTTAAAATTTTAAAATAGAATAGAATTTTAAAAATAAAATTTCACAAGAACACATGAAAAGTAACTTTCTTCACACTTTTACATGTCACAAACCTTCTTATGCTAGAATATGGCAACTTCAGTGGAGTGCTGTTTTCTCCTGACTCCTTCAAGTAAGCATGTCCTATTCCACAAAAGTGAAGGTGTTTACACTTCACAGGGAAGAATTTTCATGGGGCCCAAAGAATAAGATATTAAAATTGTTGCTGAAGGAAAAATTATATCATTCAAGAGAATGTGTGAAAGCCAACCATATGGACCAAATGTTTCTCTTCAGAAAAAAAAAAGAGTGCATTGGTCATGATCAGAAGTGGTGTAGGACAGGACTGCAGTAACTGAAAGCCAAGATTGTTTATGCACATGGTCAGCTGACAGTGAAAAAGATTGATTAACTTCAAACTTATTAGGGCCTGACAAGATTGATAGCAGGTATGAAAAATTCCATCGAAGTTGAATTGACATACTAGATCAACACAACCTATGTCCCACAGATTAAAACTTATTGGCACAAAATGATGAAAAGATATATACATAACATATATATAAAGATAGGCATATATACACAGGCATACTTGTCAAAGGGTTAAGTGATTAACTTCAGTGATTAAAAAATTTGGATTTGATAAACTAAGTGGTTTTTTTTACCTCACATTTAGCTATAGTAGTCCTTTCCATTTTAAACTTTAACATTGTGAAGTGCATTGAGTCATGACAGAATACTGACCTTCAAATCATTGATTTGCTTCTGCATATTTCCACTTTGATCAGCTAGGTTATGATGACTCCTTGAACGAGATGGGAGAGTTGCACTTTGTCCCAATAAGGATGATGGTGGAACAGAATCATGATGAGATGCCAGTTGGCCTTCCAGATGTCTCACTTTCTTCTGCAAGCCTAATATCTGCTCCAACTTTCCTTGCAGGACCTCCTCTATTTCCTTCACCCTGGTGGCAAACAAGTGTAACTGATGGATGGTGATGAGAAATACTCAATAAAACATTGCTCTTGATATTTTTTTATATTTTCTTGACAAATTAAAATTAAAATCACCCCAAGTGTTAGTAATACACAAAGCAAACTGGAAAAAATGTTTATAGCCGAAATTACTCTTTCAGAATGTTAGGGTTAGGCAAACTGGTATATGTTGTGGGAAAAACATTAAAGTGTTCCAGGTTCTGTAAATCTAAATTAGATTCTGCAAAAATTCCTGAGCATTTTGGTGTAATGAGCATTTTGATGACTGCATTGTAATGTAAGTACAGTAGTTTGTGAGTCATGAATTTTCTTGTAAATCTTAGTACAGTGTCTAAATTGTCTTATCCCATGGCCATCAGTCATGACTCGGCATCTATCAATATAACTACTGGTCTTTAGTGGCAAAGATTTCTCAAGGATATTTTCTGCAATGAGTACTTGCCACTCTTTTTACTTCATTCTTACTTCACACATTTAATTCAGTGCCGATAACATACTATGGGTTGCATGACTATGAACACTCTGTATTTTCAAATGTGAAATATTTAACAAACTGCATACGGCATGACCATGCATGAAACACACTTACAGAGTCAGAACAAAGATAATATACACTATCAATGTTATTGTTTAGGAATACATGCATACTTTTTAGGTCTAATCACAGGGAGCACCTTAATAACAGCAACTGTAACATATCTCATTACTCATTTGCTGCAATACGAGGCCAATTACTCATTATTGTAATATAGAATAATACGTGACTAAATCAAAAGTAAAAAGGTTGCAAGCAAATCTGTAAGTAAAATGAGAAACTTATTACCATTACCTTCAAGGGTGAAAATTGTAGGTCTGGCATACTTATGTCAACTCACTGTTGGGATAGCCTACGGACTTCCTGAGTGTTCCTCTGAATTACTACCTCCTTTTCTTGCCTCAGCACATGACGCTCAGCCTCAAAAGCAGCCTTATGTTCCCGACAGAGATGTGCATGAGAGGTCAGTTGCGTCCTGAGACTTTCCATCATGAGTTTCAAAGACTGGACATCTTCAGTATCTCTCCTCTCACCCCTGACAGTGGCTGTTGAAATAAATGAAAAAATGCCTGAGAACTAGCAGGTTATGTAAATAGTGGTTCATCCTCAATGAAACCACACCCTTGTGCTACAACAAGCTGCTATGCAGCCAGACTTATCAAGAGCCCTAGGTATTTAAGGTGAGGTAAAAGGTATTTAAGTGTGCTAGAGGACAAAAAAAGCAAAATCATCAATGGAAGAGGAGAGCATGATACACACAGCAGTAAGAAAGAAAATAAACTTTTTCAACTTTTGAAAAAAGCATGCCTTTCACTGCACCCTCCACTTTGATTACCATTCCAGAATTTATGGCAGCATCTTGCAGTACTAGATAATTGAATACATAGCATTTTATAAAGCCCTTTTTTTTTGCTTTCACAGTGTATATGCATGCCTTGAGGGTAAAATTTTATTGATCTAGTGCAAAGTAATACCATGAAACAAAAAAAAAAGGTCTCCAGTTTACTGCAACTCAAACATCACAAAGACATTATCTAGGCAACTTAAGTGCAAAAAAAATAAAATTGATCAATGAAAGAAGTGAAATAATCCATACCTGTACCACACAATCCTTGACTCTCAGACTCTGCCTTCCTGGCTCTTCCATTCTTGTTTTTCCAGACAAGACTTTGGGGAGGTTTTGTCATGATATATGTTACTTCCTCTTCTGTCTTCCCACTCAGAGCAAGCAAGAAATCTATCTTTTTTCTGCTTTCCAAGGCCTGAATCTACAGCATAAAGATAGAGCCAAATGTTAACTTTTGCTATAAAAAAAATTTCCCATGTCCATATAACATTGATCACATAGGATTTCATTTTGAAGACTTGCATGTCAGTGCTACCAAATTACTCTGGTAACTTCGTGCCATTGATCCATGTATGAAAAGTCTCTGCATTCCCAATAATCAAAGATATCCTAGTGAACTGATAAATTTTCTTTCAGATTCCATTTCAGACTGACATGCATATACAAGCCATAGGATATTCCAAAAGAATTTGAGCTTCAAGAAATCCCAGTATTTAAGTCAAGGGGAATTTAATATAATGCATATTTTTTATATCTCACAAAAAACACAATTTAGAGTGATGAAACTAAGTATAGACAAGTGTAAGGAGATCATTCTTCATAAGGATCAAGAATTTTCAACAAAACACAGCTGCACAAACATCGAGTACCACTCAAACTATCAATGACCCTCTCAGCAGAACCAAAGCTATTGGTTCAATCCTATTGATTCCTGAAACTAGGATACCCTGCAGAGCATAGATAACATTCTTGCTTTTACTGTTACTTCTGAATACAGGTTAACCAAGAAGCACAAATTCATTTATTTTCCTCATTTGACTTCAAATTTCTTGCAAAACACCCTTGATGGCACATTACACAGACAGTGACTTAAAAAAAGAAATACCCCTACCTTTATTCATGATTATAATGAACACCAATGGCAGCTATCATACAAATAGTGATGAACAAATAATAAATACAAGTAATGAAAAGTGACAGAATAGTGAGTTTAATACAGAGAATTGCAAAATAAGCTTTAAAAATACCTTATTGAAAGGGTCAAACTTTTTTTAGCATAAGGTTGCAAGTTGCATTGTTATTTAACCTTTCTTGAAGAATTCATGAATCTCATGTCAATTGCTACCACCATCAGGTTGAAACTGGCAAATGTCATCTCCCATTAGCAAGCAATTTAAGCTTGTTGAGCTCTTGTTAAGCAATGAATCAAACCAAGTTCAAAATATACTGCTCTTTCAAGTGTTGCACATCCACACCCATTTTTTTATTCTGTAGCTATAGAATTAAAATAATTAAAATCAAATTACTTTTTAAACCCTTTGTATAGTCACTGTTTTTTTTTTAATAAGTATTCTTGTCTTTGCATGAAGCTAATGAAGCACATTTTTATAGCTCATTTAATAAAAACAAATCCTAACAACAAGCAAAGTCAAATAATGTCAAACTTCTTACCTGGAATTTGTCATTCTCAGCTTGAAGTTTCAAACCATGTTCTCTCTCTTCATATAACATGAGCTGAACATCACTGAGTGAGTCCTGAAGCTGAGATATCTCGTTCTCTCTTTGCTGCAATCGATCCTCCAAATCAAACTGCTTGTCAATCAGTACCTTCAATCTAATAAACAAAACAGAATGACATCAACCAACCAGTTCTGCAAGCTCCTTCAACAGACCTGAAATGTCTGTTGGAGCTGTAAATGGGAAGGTGACATGACCTAATTAATACATCAAGCAGGTCACAATCAGGAGGTAGTGTGTTCATTTTATGATAAAGATGTGGAATAACAGAAGAAACTCCAAGAATAGCATAACCTTTGGTTTATATTTTTTTCCAAAGACTCAACAGGAATGACTTCTCAAATGGCTCATTATTTCAAACATAAATTGAAGGACAAAAATTAACAGTTGACAACAAATGATTCATTTTATTTCAGTACTTAATGTTGAAGAAAAACTAAGAATCAGTCAGTATCAGGATATATACACATCCATAAGCCAATGTAAAAAAATTTAATGCAAGGAAAGAGTGCTTCATATCACTAGTTTCCAATGAAGAATCATTTAGAGGCTCTCAGAAACAAGTATAAACTGACAGGCCAGAGGGGAACTCAGAAAGCTCACAGATGGCAAGAGTGAGAAAGCAAAAATGAAACTTGTGCCAGCAACAGTCAATTGGGGATCCCAAGAATCAGGCATGGAACCATCCAGTAGGGAGATGAAAATGGTGAAATGAAAAAGTAATGCCCCCTCCTTAATGAGGGGGAATAAAAGAGGAGGCCTTTGATGGATTTCCCATTCCATGTCACAGGATTCACATGCATGTAGTGCCTTACAAAGCAAAGAAACAGTAGGGGGTTCATCTACAAGGTGCAGTTCAAGTTTGTGAATATATTGGTGTTATTGGAGACAACAGCAAACAGAGTTAAGAGAGTAGAAAGGTCCAAAAATGAGATCAATGAACTAACCTTTGAATTTCCTTTAAGAAATCCTCTTGTTCCTTGTCAAAGTGAGACATTTTCCTGGCATAAAAATCAAGGAGGTTTTGAGGCGTCATCCTAAAGAATGTGACAACCTGTAGAAGAACTAATGAAAGAAGATCTTGGACATGTCACATGTACCTCCTCATGTCTGCCATGAAAAAAAATCATGCCTAGTCAGAGTATACCTACAACTAAAAACCTAGACCTAAAACTTAGACCTTACATGGAATTCCATCATGAATGCAACCCATATTGAGAACCCTTAAGCCTTGGCTTACCTTATATTTATTCGTTTTTAGGGGTAATTCTTATGCATTTGTAAGATGGGATGGAGAGGGAGAGAGTGGGAGGTGGACATTACCTCTAAATTCCAGCAATATATATAGCATGGGTCACATGTCACCATCCACTCCCTATTCTAATGTACTGTATACTGAAATCTGGCAATATATTAGACTGGCTATTATAAACCACTCCAATTATAACACTACAGGGTGATGCAAAAGGTGGGCATCATTGGGGATTTCATTGTTACACTATATCAATTCTTATTTCTTCCTTTCCAGGTAAGTGATAGCTGCAAAATTGACAAAAGGCAAGAGGGAGTTGATTTTAATGTCTGGAAAGCCAGGCCCTTCAAATCAATCAGTTCCAAGAAATGGGAAGTGTCCATGACCAGCAGTGTAGCAGCTGGCCCAAAAGCTCAAATGATGAAACAGCAACAAGGTATTACCATTTGAGCCTAAGCCTCCCACAGAGTATGGATTTACCTGTCCCTTTTAATATATTAGGGGATTCCATTCTTAAATTTTCTTGAATTCATGGTGGATGTCTTATACATCATTAACTACCTACTGTCCATTGCTTCCCTGGCATCCCCTTGGAAGCCAATTTTCCTCCATCCCAATTAACCCTTTGGCCGTGACTGTCCAGTATACTGGTCCAGCTGTAGACTAGTAGACACCTAACGGTATACAGATAAGTTACAAAGCAAGTCCAAATTATATCTGAAGGGAATTTCATAAAATTGACCTCGGAATCCTTTTTAAATCTCTATTACATGGAGCTCGCTGAAAACTCAGCACTGGCTGGGTGCCCGGATATTTAAAACTCAACAGTTAAAGAGCTAAATATGGGAAATTTGAGTCATGTAATTTAATGTTAGCATAGGCCTATCATTTATCCTAAGACGCGATAGGACAATCTTACGGGACTGAACTGTACTACAACGTAAGCTAAGGATACCGGTTCGCTGGATAAAATAGGCTAACCATTGGTTGCATCGTCCCGTCTCTGTACACATTTTTGAAGTTATGCCCCAGAGATGAGCGGTTTGGATAAGATGACACTATGTTTGGCAAATCTGAGACTTTCTCATGAAAGTTGTGATGTTGATGTGATGACGTACGTGAATATTATGTTTTAATGGAAGATTCTTAATACGGGAGACTAAAATGCATTTAAAAAATTCAAAAGTGTGAACAATCGTTGATATAATGCAATAAAGGGCTGCAGACCAGATCAGAGGACGGCTGGCTGGACCTCAAAAAGCTTTCACAAATAACTGGTTTCCTCTGAATCTGATCTCCAACAGCAATAAAGGTTTCGAATTTAAAGTTCGAACGATGAGGGAATCGCCATCCCGACAGGGTTGCCTATGAAATGCACAACGCCTCTCTCGTCAATTTTGAAATGAGAAAGGGTGCTTTTTTGTAACGGAAAAGCATGGAGAGCTATTTAAAAAATTGTTACCAGAAGGAAAAGTTAAGGTTCAATGAGATGGAATAGGTCCCAACTGAAGTGGTAAGTATTTAATATCACCATGAGGGCCACTGCCTGTAGCACCTGTAACAAAAAGCATGGGGTCTTCCTGTGATGAACACGTGACGTGCGTGCTCCACCTTGGTTCTAAGACCGATTTCAAAATATTGCTGTCGAGTCGAAGTTCAATATCAGTCCCTCAGTTGGGATTTCGTTTCGGTTTCAATCTGTTGGAACCTAAATGCATGCTCTATGGCAGTTGAGTTTATAATCTAGAAGAGGCTTAGGAAATGATGCATCATCAGAGCACCAGGGTAAGCTGCTAGTGTGCCGTGTGGAAACCAATGGCACTTCTATCCCATTAGGCCTACTTACAGCCACTGGCTCTGCAGTCAGGTTGGATATGAATATTCATGAGCTCTCACCTGATGCGTTTATTTCTTGTGTTGCAGAATGAACATCTATAGGCATGAATCACTGTGATAAGTTTGATGATCTCTTGCGTTATTATTTGAGAGACATCGTTTTTAAGGACTCGTCAGTCAATGGATATATTGAAGGAGATGAAGCTTTTGAGGCTTTTGAAGATGATCTCATAAAATGTGGCCACAAGTTTGTGATCAGATCAAGTAGAAAAAATCCACAAAAGCCTGTTAAAAGTATTCTCCCCCCTGAAGATGGCTCAGCTAGACCTACCAAGGAACAAAAAGGTAAAAGCTTTTTGCCATAAGTTTATGCCTACTGGATATCATGATTTAACAATTTTTTGTTTTGATGCAATTCAAGACATTCATTCAGGAAAATATTGGTACTTCTTAATACCAGACCTTGACAAATAGTCCTGATACAGGATTCTATTAAAAAGCACTCCAGGAGTAACTTTGCCATAATTATGTCAGAATACCAGGTTTATTCAGACGTTAATTCTTCATTCTCACTCTATAAAAGTATTTTATTGGTTTTGTTTTTTTTTATTCTGAAAATACCTGTATATAAAAATTCCAAAATAATTGTAGCTTTTTTTTTTTTGCTGGAGAGCCACCATTCCTATCCCTGTAGGGGAGAAGAGTCAATCAATTTCAATATATTCCTAAAATTGATCATGATCAACTTTAGGAATATATTGAAAAACTAAATCATAAACATGGCAAAATATTGAGAGTAAATCATAGAAGAAAATTAAAAAGAGAAACAGGAAGAAAACTATCCCCTTCTTGATTATTTCCATGGACTCAAAGAGCCAAAGCCGACAGGAATGGTGCAGGTGAAAACCAGTAGTTTGTTGTTACCTGGAAAAATTCAAAAGAAGGCAGTATAGATTTCACAAAGCAAATAGGCTATGTGCTAAGATCCTGCACTCTCAAAAATATACAAAGGGTGTGGAGGTACCTGCATACGGAATGGTAAGCATTCATGATTCTGGGGCTGTCAGACTTCACTGCTAATTGCAGGTATTCTTTACTAAAACTATAATCATGTTTGTTGTAAGATGTAAAATAGATGTAAGACTGATATGACCTGATGGCTCCCCCTTGCAGATACTTTTTTTTTTTCATTTTTAGGGGGGGGAGAGAGACCTAGAAAGATGGTATACAAGAAACTGATGGAATCTAAATGCTGAGAACCTGATCAGCATTTCTTCCCCATATATAACTTTTTTTTACAGCATATATAAATAATAAAAACAAGGTTGATTTTACACTCAAGTAAAAAAAAACTTGCATTGGTCAAAGTGCTAGGGCTTCAATTTAAGGATTTTCAAGAAACTGAGCAGTCACCTTTTTCAACAAAATATATTTTTCTTACACGGGCTTCTTTACTTCAATCTTCCCAAAATGATACAAAATGCAAGAATTTTACTCCAAGCACATTCAATTGATTTTAAAAGGATGATTGATGCCCATAATTGGTTGCCGAGAGTTTGCAAATGCCATGTATTCATGGCAGTGATGGAACATGTAGATTGTGTGTTATACATATCAATAAGTTCCAGCTGGACAAATCTGCTTGCATTTTCCCCACTCTAAGTCTGTCACAGGCCTGCACCTTTCCTGACACTCTCTAGTTTTGGATTTGATATTCTCAACATCTAGTTTCAGCTCCCCAGAAGAGAAAAACTACAATCCATGTGAAGAGTTCCAAGTCCAGGAAGAGCGAGCCGTGCAAAGACATGTGCCATCATCATTCAGATGGAGAAGAAATGGAAAAGGGGCAAGAGACAGAAGATTCTGAGAGAAGGATCTATTTCAAATTTGACAAAGGATCCCCCCCAGTGCCTTTCTGTGGTCATCCATTCCGTATTGAAAAGGTTGAGAGACGTGTGTGCCGATTTGGCCCTCTCAGGAAAATACCCTATGGAAAGAGGCAGGTGAGGTGGATGAATGAGATTTGTTCTGAAAATTGAATGCTTATCAATAGAGGATATCTGAAGAAATAGGTTTGAATTTTGCATCTTTTGCATTTAAAAAATCCTGTCTGAACCAAATTAAGCTCAGCATTTTTAATGATCTCAACCCTGGTCTATCTGCTTGCTATGGAAGTTGTAAATATGCCTTGGATTTTTTTGCAGCTAGAAAATAAACTGTGCTTGCCCTTGCTACTGACAGTTACAGGATGTCATAAAAGTAATACAATGCTTCCATTGTGGAATACCTTTTGAAAAATAGGTACAAAGGAAAGAGACACACCATCATAAAACAAACTTTGGAAATGTATGCGGCATTTCCTTTTGTGACTTCTCACTCCTATTCCCAGAGCCTGACAAGGAATTTGCCAAAGCTTGTGAATGTCTTGGCTAATAGAGGCTAATATAATAATAAATAATGATTCTTAGGGTACAAGAGCATTAAATATGCTCTCACACGATGGAACTATGCAGAGATGAATGAAACCATAAAGAGGAGTGGATCGGCAGCAAAGGTGTTTTTGTGCAGGTCATTGGAAATTTAATTTTCAGACTCTGGACATGAAATAACCAGAAAGGGAGTGACTCGAACCAGTGGTCGAGGTAGAGATTCTCCTTTGTCGTTCCTTCGAATTCGGTCTAGAGAGGAGTTGCTGCTTAGGGTCGACTCCGAATGCACTGAGGTCGGAATGGAATTTAGCGTCTCGCAGAAAGAGCTGAAGTAGCAGAGTGGGGATGCTGGTCGGGGGCCAGCGAGAAATCCGTGTCATTGGCTCGTATCTAGTCTTTCTAAAAGCTCGGCCGACAGTGGGAAACTGGCCGATCGTGGTAGGGGTGGTGGGACTAGGGTGGGCAAGCGTGACATGAATGATTTCTGGGTCGCTAGTTCTGCTACTTGAGAGGTTATGGTTCGCTCGCATAATGTGTAATGTGTAGTGTAGTATGCACTATGCATGATGACTCCCCGGACGAGATGAAGTACCTTGGGCTCTGGCTCTGGGCGAGTGACGATGGGAAACTAGATTGACGATCGCATTTTCAAGATCTCTGCTGCTTTGCGGGAACTCTGGCAAGTAGCTGCCATATCGGGTACTTCCATGGAAGTGACTTTTTTAATTACTACTTTGAGTTCTTATTACCATCCTGGAGAGCCTCTAGGTTGAGCAGGTATGTTAGCTGAGACAAATTTCGCTCCTGCCATGAAATGCCTGCATCACATAATTGAGTACAACGAAAAATACAATCAACATTTTTCAACCAAATTACACCAATATCCGCTCTCGAAACCCGAAACAACTGCGGTTTCGTCTAAAATGCTATGGATCCCATAGCATTCGGATCAAGAGATAAAAAGTCCGTCTCTTTCGACACGTCTGCCAGTCATTAGGAGTCTGCAGACTCCCAAAAGACTTCAGCCCCCCCCCCCTCATTACACTACTGGAACTTGTACAAGGTGGAAGGACTACGTTACGAAGTCTCGTCTCGATGCTCGAGATTTCACCTGCTGAGCTCGAGTCTGTTGCCCGATATCAGTTGAAGTGGGAGAGGATGCTTCATCTATTTCCACCACGATTCAGTTAACTAGGCGTGGACAGTCACAAATACTTGTGATTCGACGCATGCGGGGAAATTTTGATTGGAGTTTCTGTTTTGGATCTTGAAACTGGAATGGCATGTCAACATCGTGTGTCTACTTGTTTAAAGATTAAAAAAAAATGCACGATTAACTTTATTCTCCTTCGTCGCTCAAGCATCGAAAAAATTGAAAATGTGAAATTTTTTACAACTCCCATATCATAACCACCACCATGTCACCATATTCCTTCATCGGCAGAAATTCCAGTGGAGCAAATGCGTGATCCCCATAAGGGTAACATATTTGAAGACAGTTTTTCGATACGAAGACCCTGCTGGTAGTAGTGGTTGCCCTCATTTTGAAAGTGGCTTTACTGCAGAGTGGTCACATTTGGAAGAACGACGATATGCAAGCAACTTACTGAATTGAAAAATGTTGATGAATGGATTTTGGCGCACAAGCTAATAGCAGGGTGCTGTGAAATCGATTAGATCTGTTAAAAATTAATGCAGTGCAATGGCGTAAACGCGGTGCGCAAAAGCACTAGCTTCGCTCCAGATTCCAAACGAACGGCCTTGCATGTACATATTTTAAAATCAGTATATGCTGGGTGAGGAGCGGTGGCGGCTCGTGAGTTCCAAAACTTTTGGGAAATGGAGTGTTGGGGGGTAGACTGTACATGTATTAAGTGGTATGTGTCTTGTGGCTCTCGGCCATATTTTATGCGACTCGTAATGTAAGGAAGTTTGGCGACCCCTGGTATATGCCAAGACCTATATTAAATTTCTTGATATTCCAGGGCATGCATGCAAACTCGCGCACAACCTATCATCATGCTCGCATGACAATTCCAGTTCTTGTTCCTTTTCAAATCAAGGGGCCAGCAAACAGCGAAAAACAGGAAGACAAATGAATTTATTGCATTAAAGAGTATGACGAATCCAAGTCACAATGAGGTAAAGGGCGTAAAGTTTCCAGTACACCTATGGGACAATCTGTAGCATTCATTTGGAGATTGCCAAAAGGATTTGTTGTATCACCATGCAAAGATGAACACTGTCTTGCTGGCTGAGAAGTTGATCTCTCTGTTGGGTGTTGCTGTTGTAGGAATTCTTCCATGATTCCTTGTGCTTGTAGATGGGGAGAGACGTGCGAAGATGGAGCTTCTGATTGATGTAAAAGAACTTGATCTGTTTCTTGTTCATTGCAAGGTGAGTTAGCACCATTTCTGTGAATGTGGTCACAAAGCATCGATGTGAGGTGGTCCACTTTCTCCATGACATCCAGAAGGAACTGTGAATCCTGACATCGCTGAGACATTACTCGTAACTTATCCAGGTTAGACAGAAAGACATCAATTTTTGATTGCATACTCGAGTCTTGGTCATTGTTGACATTGTCTTTTGGTTCCATTTGTGTACTTGGTTCTCCACTCCCCAATTTTGTTGGCTTTTGCAACTTCAGAATATGTGCCCTGATCACATGCTTAGGGGGAAAGTAAGCAGAGTTCCCAACACTTGGATAGAAGAATCCTCGAGAAAAATGTTTCACCACAAAGTCTTTTAATTTTCCAATGATATCTGATGTCTGTGTGTGTCCTTGTAGCACAAGTTCTGCCAAATGATTGAGGACTTTGGGATGCGCATCCAGGGCACTGAGTGTGTCGGGCCCAAATCCGTGATTATGAGTTGCAGGGCGTGCTATTTCAACATAGTGACGCACTGTAGTTCTTAATGTGGGTTCCTTTTCATGAACCAAGGCAACAGCTGCTTTCTTTTCCTTTTTTGCTTTTCGGTTTGGGGTGTCAGCCTTTGCCTTCTCTGACACATCTATGTCCACAAATATGCGCACTGTTTTCACATGCATCGTGGCTCTACATTCCTTCTTTTTTGATGAATACCCTTTCATCTTTTTCTGAAGGTCTGGAGAGGCAAGAGAATCTGCATTTCCCTGTAATGATTCCAAGCAAAGAATGGTGAATATGCTCTATCACTGCAGTTGCTATATGATGGTATACAAATAAGGTCACCAGGCCATTTACCCAGGAAAGACAGACAGTTATTAATGTAACGTATGCCTGCCTATGATCGCAAGTCCAGCGTATCAATAGAGTCCAGGAGGGGAGGAGGCGGAAGGAGGTGAACTAAAACATCCATCAACACGTGGAGGGAGGCGAACCCAGTGTTTGGGGTCAAA